AAAAAAAAAAAAAAGAAAACAGATGAGGGAGAAAGCATGCTTTCCTAAGTCAATCGATATAATTGAAAACTTTATCCTGGAGAATTTTCATGTTATTTCTTTCAGAAAGACCTGAATCTTCTACTAAAACTACGGAAGAACATTAACTGTATCCTACTGCAATGGAGTTGTTAGTGCGTGAACTGAGAATCTTTTTCTTTGCTAGAATTCAGATTAAGACTTATTCTTATTCCACACAATTTAATAAGTGTCAGAATTAATTTCTAGTAACTACTAACCTGAATCAGATATGAAGCAGCAACCTAGAGGAGAAAAGCTCCGTATAAAACTTTTATGATAATGATAAATAATGGTAATTTTTAAATGACACGGAAGTCATTTTGAAAGGTATACACTTCTCTAAATACAGTAATTTTACTTTACAGCCTATGATTACAAGAGTCAATTTACACAGTAAGTTACAATTTAATTCAGATCTTTGTATCCCAGATGGTTAGTCCCTCTCATATACAGCCTAAGAAACAAGTTTAGTAAATTTTGAAATATAAGAATACCTCATCCTTAGCAATAGCTAACTGCATTTCAGCATTTTGTCTTTTAATATTGTAATACTGTACTTCTACTTCATGTGTTAATTGGAGCCATTTTTGAAGTGCATCTGGAACAGACCAGCTGCTTCTTAGTTCAAATTCTTTTTCGGCTTTTTTCAGAGCCATGCGAACCTGGAAGAAGGGAGGGAGGGAAGCAGCAATGGAGAGAGGAAGGAGGGAGGTATTAAAATATTTTTTAGTACCCAAACTAAATGAAAAAGCAATTTCAAATATGCTCTTTGTAAACATCATTTTAAATTGCAAAGTCTAAATACAATCTGCTAAGCAAAGCTGCAAAGCCAGAGAGGGTAGAAGAGGCTTATATATATCTTAAGTTGCAATATTTTGTTTTTGAATTTTATTAATATCCAAGCTCATTGGAGGAAAAAATCCAGGGTATATACAAATTAAAACTGATCACAATTTTCCCATAATATATATTTGCTTTATAAGAGAAGTGTCCAAAATCAGGTAGAGACCTGCTCTATTACCACTTCTACTGTTCCCAGAGGACCCTATTATAGCTCCTTAACTACACACTCTTTTTTTCATATATCTTTTTTCTGTAGTTTTTCATGACACCTTCCTTATGGCCAGTTATCTCTCACTGTTACAAGTATTAACTGCTTATTATAGTCTATTTTACCATTTCTGCTACTTAATTTACTGTTTCTAATATACCAGAAAGTAGATAAGTGAGCATTTGCAGACCATATGTAAATTTCAAGAAAACAGCTTCTGAGAATCTACTTAAT